ACAAGAAATAGCAAGCTATTCAAACACTGAAAGCGTGAATAAGGAGAGACTGCTGGGATAAAATGAAGACCTAGCATAATTATTACTGAGAGTAAGTCTTGAGACAAAGGCCATCCTTTCAGCAAGTTCAAATGCATCTTTCACCGCTAATAATCTCCCTTACTTCTATAAACCATACTTAGTCATCCACTTTATTTGAGAACCCACTGGGCATTTGAATGATAAAGGGCTTCAAGGACTCCCACAGCTTCATTATTACTAGCTTATGGTAGAATTATTGAGCTGTCTGATTTTAATTAAGCTAGTCATGTGAATGTGCAGAAACTGGGATGAGTGCAGTATAAAGGCACTTTATAAAAACAGCAAAAGAACACTTTGATATTAAGGTTCATAGTGAGGGTGAACAAAGTTAATGGCTAAAGAAGGTGCACAGATCTTCAAAGGCTTAGAAGCTCTGTTACCAAGTAAAACACAGAGTTGGTAAATGACTCATCAGAACAAAGCCTGCAAATGATGCTTATGCACTAATAATTTTAGAAACGTAACTAGCTTCAGTATCACCAACTTAACATAGTTCCTTAAGTTCTAGAAAGGTATTGGACTCTGTCAATCAGGGGAAGGTGATAACACTGTAACGAGTCTGAATATTACACTTACCACAATATCTAGTTTGTTTAACTTGTTTTTAATTAAGCAATCTTGAGACTTTTTTTTACATGAGGGAGATGCAAAAAAATAAAGACGACAAAATCTGGCATTTATAAGAAAAATAAGTGAAATTTCATGAGCTGGTACAGAAACATAAGAAATAGCAATCTGATGTCTTAGGATAGCGCTCCTCAGCCAGGGTGCTGTCTCTGGAAAGGTGTGAGATCCTTTTTAAACAATGTCATGGGGTAATGCACAACATCAGTTCTGTTAGCTGTGCAAACACCTACACGATTCAAAGGATAAACCCAAACAATTCAAATAGGAATCCATATTGTCAAAAACATTCTGACCTGTCATGGTTGCTCTGAATTCTTTGCAGCAGAGGAACTGCTCTACTATTTTTTCCGCAGTCAAAAAAAAAGTGAAAACTGAAACCTGGCATTTTCCAAGGAGTGTTGCAAGTCTAACAAGGTGCATCTCAAGTCTAAAAAGCTTGAGAATCACTTTTATGGGCATAAGTTGCTAAGCATGTGTCTATAGAGTGCAGTGCAAGCTTAATGAACCATGCTGCGCTCATTTTTCATATGCTGGAAATAAAACGGCTGTGCAAGCACAGAGAACAGAGCTTACTGGCAGATGTGCAGCACCTCACTGTTATGGCTATATTGCTCCCAGTTTGGGAGCTGAGGCAAGGAAAGCAACACAATTTAAACCAAGCAGCATCTTGTTTTTGTACTGCACTGCCTTGTTCCACACAGACATACCCTAATTGCCTCAGGATAGGAAGAAACTCCTTCCCTAAACCTGTTACTAACCTGTCAGAATTGTGCAACACCTTTCTTGGAAGCATCTGATACTTACCATACTTACAGACAGTATAACTGAGTGGCACAAAATGAGTCCGAAATGATATGGCAATTATATTTCTTTGTCAGATAACTGTATTAATACAATATCTTATCAGAATAGTTTGGATCTCTCCAACCTCTTTGTGGGCATCACTCCTAATATCATTCCCACAAGAAAAATATTGTGGACTTGGAGGTAGAACCTTCATTACCAACCATCTGCTTCCATAGCTTGACAATATTCCCTGGTACAGACACTGGAAGATTAGAGGAACCCAACAGCTAACTACATTATCTAGAAATAAGAGGGCTATTTTCTCGCAGGAAGAGATGGTTTCCAGGGCCCAGGGGGAAGGCAGATGGGGATATCCAGCCTGACTCTCTTTTCTCTCTCCTGTTCCCAGAGTTGAAGAAGATTTTGCCCTAAAAGGAAACTGGTGATATATATATAAATAGATTGCATAAATCATAGGCAAGATCTGTAGATTTACTAGGCTTTGGGCACCCCAGGCCAGCACTCTATAGCTCCAGCTACTGCTGTATGTGCTATTCCTGCTTTGATGGTACAAGGAGTATAACTTCACTATACAGCAAACATTTTACTTATGTATTCAAATGAGAAGGGAAATGGCATTAACACTATCAGCAAAACATTTAGAATAAGGAGTTCATGGACTATAATTACACTTACGCAACCTAAGAGGATTTCCTGTTTAAAATATCAAAGGCCTGGTATAAACAATGGAGATATGAGAATTTCCCAGAGAAGACTACAAGAATCTTTTAAAATGGAATGTTAGGCAATTGAGACATATGGATTACTACCAGTTTCCCTTACAATATATAAGCACACAGGGCTCTGCTTGGCATTCCCACCTATAACACTGACATTAACTCTACAGCCTTACTTCCATCCCTGTTCATCTGTTTATCCTGAATTCAGCTGGGACACCAAGTCTCTGGGCCCCACCCTCAGTTTAGGGCAGTGGTACTCACCATCTGTCCCACAGAGCCATGTCATCTGTCCAGTGGGGCTTCCCACAGGCCTGGAAATTTGGCAGCAGGGATATATGGCAATTAACACTGCTACAGCTCCCCAGCACCAAACTGCTAAGCCCTAAGGGCTAGAAGACATGCAGGGCTGGGTTGTGGGCACCAACTGGTGAATGGTCTGATCTGGCATGTGGGGCCAGGGCCACAGTTCCATGCACTGGATAGGGCCCATGGACCGGATCCAGCCTGCAGACTGACCCTGCAACAGTGATTCAGCCCACAAGGTCAAAAGGTAGGGCCTTGCTCTTCTAAGGGAATAGGCCTTTACTTCAGGGTAGGACTAGCCCCACCCAAAAGGAACAATGAAAATATACAATAACCAATGTAGTGTATAGATTTATCCTTTCGTTATGTCCCTCATGCATAGGTTCTGCCACAAATGCTGCTGTGTACAAATCTGTGGTTTTAAGGGCTTTGAGTGTTAAAAAGGCATAGAGCATCCTCTAGTATTTTGCCATTAGAGCAACTGTAAAAAAGGATTTGAGACGTAGCTAATGACTATACCTTTCTTAGTCTCTCAAAGACTCACTGATAAACAAAATATGGCAGCACCAAACAACTTAAAAGTTTATTCTAATAAAAATTTAACATTTTTTATATTTGCTTTAATTTTTTTTCATCCTCTAGAAAATAAGAATATTCAAATATACACATCAGCAGGGGTTGAGAGGAGTAAAAAAAAAAAAAAAAAATCAAATAGCTCCTTCACTCACATATTTCAAAAAAATGATTCCTCCTTGCCCTACCCTTCCCAAGCCTACCAAATATGGAGAGCATCTGAAAAGAAACTGAGTAATTCAAGAGAAACTTAAAAGATGCTAAAACGTCTTTACGTAGTGAATGAGTATTCCTCTGACCCCAACTACCTGGTAAGGGCGTTGGATCAGAAATTGTCCCCCCACAACTTTATGGCCACTTACATTCAAGCCCATCCTCCTCCTCCTGCAAGGCTCTAAACCTACGAAAACTATTAGCAAATGGATATAAAAGTATCACTTTGTATTGGAGTTCTCCAATTGTCTTTATTTCTCATAATGTTTCCTATCAAGACATCTTATCAAAATGTCTCATTAGCTAAAATCTACCATCAAAGATATCCATGATACCACAGTAGAGCCAGAACCAGACCTGGAGCTAGTCAGAGCCGAAGGCACGCAAATAGTAAGCAGCAGAATACTGGAGGGGTGGGGGCAGCAGGTAAGGGGCAGAGGCTGAGGGAGGGGGGGTAGGGAACAAAGGTGGCTGCATGCCTACTGATTGCATGCCCCCTGCTACAGCTTTCAGTGCTGCAGCAATGGGGGGGGGAGGACAGTGAATTTAAGATTGCAACTCAATAATTAGATTCTATATTTGGAAAATTATAACAAATTTATCAATTCTACTTGCAAAAAAATAATTACTGGGAAGTCATCTTAAATTCAAAGTCATCTTGGATTTAGGTAAATAAAGTAATTCATCAAGTTCCTCTTTCCAGGATACCTCTATAGAACTCTCTTACCTCATAGGCCTAAACTAAGTCAAACTGGGCAGGTCTACACATGATGTTTACTACTGACTCATTAGCTCTACAGTAAATGTCTGGGTGTCTACACAGGCAGTCCTATTAGGCTACAGTAAACTAATAAACTCCACCGTAGGATAGTACTTGTAAATACTTGTGGAGCTTTTTAGTGCACAGCAACACATGTATGAATGGCTGGCTGGGGCACAAAGATGCTTCAGTGCGGGGGCTGCCTGCTTGCTAGCCCCACACTGGAGCACCCTCGTGCCCCAGTCAGCCCCTCTGCAGCATGCTGAGTTAGGTCGGAGCAGACCCGAGCCAGCAGACTGACCCCCAGGTGCCCTGACACCTGGGGCTGCTCCAAACTGGCTCAATGTATGGGAGTTCTGGTCAAACATGGCACCTGGGAGCAATAAACTCCAGCGTGATATGCACTGGAGTTTATTGCTGCACATTAACAGCATGTGTAAACACACCCACTGAACTTCAATCAGCTATTCCTCATTCTACCAGACATGACAAGGAGCAATCATTTCAAGTTGCAGAAAGGGAAGTTTAGGTTAGATATTAGGAAAAACTCTCACTAGGAAGGTAGTAAACTACTGGAAGACGTTGTTCAGAGAGGTTGTGGAATCTCCATCCTTGGAGGTTTTTAAGATCCAGCTAGACAAAGCCTTGGCTGTGATGATATAGTTGCGGATGGTCCTTCTTTCAGCAAAAGGTTGGACTAGATGACCTCCTGAGGTCCCTTCCAACCCTAATTTTCTGTTTCTATGAATTTGGCCTAATGCAGCTGATTCAGGCAATAAATATATTCATGTCTTAACAGCCACTAATAACACAGTCCAGGAAAGCTTCTTAGGTATTTTATAAGCAAATACAAAGACAAGGTTTCTGCCCGGGAAAATTTACATAT